CCTTCGTGTCCTGTCTTTCCTTGAAGTTTAAAGGATGTTTAAAGACAATTATGAAAATTGTGATGCTTTTTGAAGAAGGTGAGTGCAGTTCTTGTGCAATTATGGGGAAAGCATCAGGACCCAACATTAAACATGGAAGCTAAGGAAAGATTAAGGAAATTGCAGGACCTTTAGGGAAGATTTATGATGGTTCCAGTGGACATATTCAAGAATCCGATGAAGCCGGTAACCTGTATATTTTAATTAATCGCTCTTAGGAGGAGGATCATTTTTTGTAAACCGCATCATCAACATCATGGACATCAATGGGTGTCTGCTCTTGTTTTCTAAATCTTTTTTCTTGTCACCCCAAAGCCACACAGAAAGACCCGCTGTAATTAACAAAAGACAATGAAAGTGGATCTCGCTGCGTTCCTCGTCCGGATCACGACCACTAGCTTCAGACAAGAGATCTTGGTACGCTGCCAGGACGATGGTTTTGGTGTGCTCCAGGCCCGTAGGCAAATGAAAACATCTGACTTGACGAAAGCCACCAGTGTTGCTCGACCGGAGGGCCACTTTGAGCTCAAGGCCATTGATTTCAATGCGGAGTGTCATGACCCAAGGTTTGCTTTTCGACGCCTCATTCCCTGACACACGTAGTCCTGCATCATTGGTTTGCGCATATCTAAAAACAACGGAAGTTGGTGCCAGCCATCACAAACAGTCTGCATTTGGGTAGTTGCACTGACACCAACCAACATGGCACTGGAGTTTGGGTAATGCGTGAAATTGAAATCACTGGCAAGTCAGAATAGGCATTAAGTAGTTGGACACCTCATTAGACATAGAACCCCTGGCAACATACATAGTTTTAGGCAGCTTGGGTACAAACAGTCCTGACTCATTGGTCTTCTACCCATTCGGGAGTAGCCAAGCATCCACTCTTTCGATTGGAGTTCTTGGCACCAGGATCTGCTTGAAGAGTGTCCAAAGCATCCTTTGCATCTCGAAGGTTGCCCCCGTGCTTCGCTAAGGTGTGGACAATGCCGTGAGCTATCTCATATGGAAATGCTTGAAACACGCCAGAGAAAACGTGGACGGAACCCCAAACAAAGAGGACACAAACATCAAAAAAACCTTTGGAAGCAGTTCTATGTTAAGCGTTGGTGGCAATGTCGCGCCTCCCCTTCCCCACCCCTGTCCTCAACCTGCCACTCGTACTTCGCGCAGTACTGAGGGGCGTTGGAAAGAGATGATCCTGCAAGAGCCTCCGCTGGATCCACAATCACCTCCACAGCTGGCACTGTGCTGCGAGCGACCTGGTCCAGCATTGGATGTTTCCACTCAAGCCCATGCCGGTTAATAAACATGGCACATGGAAAGTATTGGATCTGTGTTTCCCACATGTTCTTTTCTTATGACAAAACCCTTATTTTGATATACACGGCAGCCATTGACAAATCAAACCTATTTCAAAGATGGCAGAGCCATGAATTGCCCAGAAGCCTGGCCAGAAGCTTTGAGGTCCAAGGACTCAAATCCTGACGCTCATCAAGTTCAAGCTGGGTCTGACTTGTATGCAAAACAAACGTGACCCTGCCCAATGAGCTATTCAGCTTCCGTGTGGAACAAAATTGGGACCGGGGACGACAGCGTAAGTCTGCACTGTGCAAGCTTCTGACATCAGCCGTTCTCAATGCTTGCCGGAAAGACCCATGGAGCTGGTCAATGGTGACAGAACTTTATTTTACAGGGTGGAAGGCCAACATTCATTCGATGGATGTCAAAATCCAAATCCACAGTCTCGATGAGAAAAACATCAAATCCTCTCAACTGCTTTCGATGGGTGTCAAGTTTGTGTCCCGAAATAAACGAAAAAAAACAAATCCTTTCAAATTCACTCAATGTGGTCCCTTTGCTACCACCCAAGATGACAAGATATTTTCTCAACCACCACTCGATTCTTACCCAATCTCACCAAACTACACACCAGCAATGTTCCAGTGCGCCCATCTCAAACCACACTCTGGGAAGACGACTTTTATAGCTTCCCTGAGACTTGTGCATTGCTTTTGTGTGGACATGGTTGCCTGCCCACTTGCTGGTGTAAGCAAAGTTGTAAGCGCATTCACTGGACTGCTTTGATTGCTGAGGCTGAGCCGTTCCAGATGACTGGACTGCCAGGCCATGAGGGTTCATCTGTTAAGTCATACACTGCATGATGCTAAAGTGCAGCAGGTCATGGATGGCATTTGCATCTTGCAGTGGCTGTGCTGCAAACCACCTCAAACTACAAACCTGGTCCTGCCAGGTCCATCATGATCTTCAGACCTTTGCTACCAGTTCCGTGCTCAGGGAGAATGTTCAAGAGCAGAGCCTATTTTCATCCAATTTTCAGCCAGCTGAAAGTGCACAAGTTCTTTTGACCAAATTGACCAAACCTTCATTGGGTTCCGCAGGCGTTTCAGCACTGTCAGAGGGGGAACAATCAATGTAAATCTTTCTCATGTCATGTGTGCGCATTGATTGGGGGGGCCCAAGTGCAATGTCTAGGAAACGAAGCGCCGCGCACATGGAAGATCTGTCAGTGGTACTGCCTGAACTGTGCTTTGGTTGAACTTGAAACAGTTTGATCAATGACACTGCTCAGCATCTCTCGCCCCAATTACAAACCCACATCCCAACTACATCTCTTGCCCCTGAAGCTCAGGCCACCATCCAGCTCCAAAATGCCTCAGCGAAAAGCATCAATGGCCACATACCTTGCTGGATAGAGCATGTGCTCCGTGGGGTGAGGACGCTGTGCGACTGAAGCTTGGGATCTTGGTCCAATATTGCTCAAACAATGATCTTGCACCAGATTCCTTTGTGAGCCATATCTATAGCTAGCAGAAGGTTCTGAACCTAAATTCTGCCTAGGTGATGTTCATTGGAAGGTCCATAGCCTCTTCAGCGGTATTGAATGCCTGGGAGAGGCTCTACTGATCTTGAAGCATGCTCTTGAAGCATGCAGTGGCATTTCGATTCTCACTTCATTTGGATGTTCAACACTCTTTGATGGAACCTCATCTGTAAATAAACACAGTGCCTTTTTGTTTTGACACTTCACTTCCTACACAGCTAAGATGGCTAAGATAAGGTAGAGAAGAACCGCCACTGCTGCAGAGCAATTGGGGATCATTTTCCCAACGCGTGCCTCATGGAAGATGTCTTTGAGATGTTGAACGTGGTGCCCAAAAGCAAGAAGTGGTCACCGCATAAGCTTCAACTGGTGGAGTCATTCACGTGCTGCAACAAAACACATCAGCTAAAGAATGATACGCGCCTTGCCATATTCTAGCCCAAGGCCCCAGGTCTTTTTGTTGAATGGTCAATCCAATGTCCAATCCAAGTTGTAAGATTTTCCATGACTTTCCCAAGCTGAGGTGCCATTTACTTCCACAAGATCAAAACAATGTTGGTTGTATGGGAGCACCACGCACCTCCCACAGCAGGAGCCTCGCCCAAACTGAGCTGCCTGACTGACCGAGCTGTTACAGCGTTTCCATCCAACCTTGCAATGCGCTGAGGATGGGCAAGATGGAGGGCTTCAAAAATGAGATGCTCAAGAAGCTCCATGATGTTGGGACCCGCATCATTAAGGAAACGAAGCTCAGCATTCATGAGAATGTCTTGGGGTACGAAGAGGACATAAGATGTTGTTCTTGTTTGGTTCTGCTTACTCATGAAAGCTTGTGGTAACTTGAATCTGCTTATTACTAAAATTAGCTCGTTGTGTCTGGAGGATGACTACTTGACCAGTGAAACTGGATATGCTCTTCAGAAATCAATGCAACTCGGATTGCAAACAAACAATTGCAAGTGAATTCAAGCAACCGATTGCTTGCGAAACTGAAGCAAGAGACATCATCCCATGTTACAAAAAGCAAGGGCTCTTACGGTTTGCATCATTTTTGTCCAGGCTTTCCCCCTGTCATTTTGGTGAGCCTTCCAGCCGTGATCGATGGTGGAGGATTTTGTATGATGACAAAGTTCTGTTTTGGAACTGTGCTTACTCCTTTCAAGAGCTCACTGATATCTTGCTGCTCCCAATGCGTGGGCCACTTGTGCTCCCTCCAACTGTATATGCTTGTGAGCGAGGGGGCCACTCTGCACCTGTCTTGCGCGCGTCAGCCAAGAGATTTCTCAAGAAGTACCAGGAATCTGCTCCAGACAAGTGCATCTATGATCTCAGCCAGAACCCTGATCACCGACAGCGCACTGAAAGTGTTGATGGAGCTCTTTGCACTTTGACAACAAACTGCCATCTCTGGCAACTCAGCTTTTTGGAACAATACAATATACTAAGGGTATATGTATACACACTGTATAAACCGCTTCTTGCAATGATGTTGACTGGGACTGCTGACCCAGGCTATGCAAAAAGAAGCGCTTCATGACAGGCAGGGAGATGCTCTCTACGCTTGGCTATCCATGTTTCCCACGTATGGCCAACGATTTGGGAACTGATGCTGGCCTTGGCATTAAAAACAGCTGTGCAGTTTTCCACAGTTGAAATTACATGCAGTATTAAAGCTTGAAGCTGTTGGATTGTAGTGTGAGGGTTCTGTTTGCCTCAGCGTGGACTCTAAGGATGTGAGGCCGCTTCATGGAAGTTCTGAAGCAGCTATTGCTCGCATGGCAGGCAATGGCATGCGCTTGGGCAGTGCAGTGCAGGCTTTACTTGTTTCATAGCTATGATGTGTTTGAGTCCTTAATTACGGGGACTAATTAATCATGTAAGAACTGTTGCTGGGCTTCGAAAAGCTGGTTGAAACTCTGAAGCTTCAGTGGCCAAATTGAGTGATGCATCTGAGTGTCAAACTGGGAAGTGTCAACCATTGCTACCTACGCAGAGGTCTTTCACAGAGCTGTTAATCCACATCGGCTATGAAAGCTTTACACTTGGATTGCCTTGGCTACATGAATTGTAGACCAGCAAAATAGAGTTTTATATTTGATAGTTCATAGTTCAGCGGTAGTCACACTTTATATTTCTGTCATCTAGGTGTGATGTCACACCACTTGAGGGTCATGCCATGGTCCTCTTTCAAGACGAGCCGGAGGAGAAACCTTCCTCTCTGAAGAAGAGGTCTCTTTTAGAAGAGAGGCCAACCAGAACTAGAAAAAATGAGCCTGCACGAGCACAGTCTTTGTTTGGAGATGAGCCCTCAGAGAGCAGCCGGCCTTGTGGTTCTCGTTCTGGTGCTTCAGCCAATAGCTCCTCCAAGCAGCCTCAAACAGTTCACGTTGACTGGACGACTGTGAAGCTGTTTTCGAGTGCGACATTCTTGAAAAAGACTGTGGGAATGACTAAGTCAACTCCAGCAAAGAGGCCTTATGACAACGCAAATCGCTCTCAAAATGCTGCTCAGGTTGATCGGACTAGCTACAAGGGCGCTGCTTTGAATCCTGGTAGACTGAAGGATCTGAAGAGGCAACCACATTGCAAATGCATCCTGGTTAAATAACTTGTCACAGCCCTTTTCTTCTCATGTGTGTGGTGCTTGGTAAGGCTCTCTATCATGATGTGGATGCGACATTGTGTGTGTGACTTACAGTACTCTGAGGTGCTTTGAAAACTTGCTTCAAGCAAGCTGACTCAACAAATTCCATCAACTTCCTGAAGGAACTTTGGAACCTGGAGAAATCTGAGCAAGACAGCTTTGAAGCTAGACTAAATTACATGTTGGTTTAGGGGCCAGCGCTTGAACCGCTTGAATTTTGTTGATCGAATATGCGCTCATCATAAATGCTCACTGTGATATTGAATGAGCTTTGACTGTGCACGTGCACTAGGTGCAGTGCACTTGACACTGCTACTGGCCCATGACATCTAAGTCTAAGTTGCACATGGTGCTTTGCAAAGAGGGAGGAGCGTGACCAGCGTGATGCCCGGCCAAACTTCACTTAGTGTGGTGAAGCAGTGGGTCGTGAGTGCCTTTGTGCTCTTTTGGGGATTGGCATAAACCGTATGCGCAAAGCTTTCAACATGGTTCCAGGCCTCTGGGTGGGCAAAGACAAGAGTGGCAGCCATGAGAACACCTGGAGTGTGGGCGCCTTCCTCTCAATGCTGTACAGCAATGTTGCAGAAACCCTACCAGACCGGCCACCTAGCTTTGAACAGAACCGGTAAACTGCCAAGGGTAAATATAAGCCTAGGCTGCCTGGCTTTGTTTAATTTGTGGACACCTCATTGCCAAACCCTTAGGTTTGTTTGCAGGGGACGCGCAGCTTCAAAAGATGATGCTGACTTTGATGTGTCTGGAAACGAAGGGGATGTGGATGATCTACGCAATTGGTTGGATGACCCAGGGAAGGGGCCTGCGTGGGAGGCGTTCCAGCCTGACAGCAAAAAGGTCACAAAATACCCATCGCCTGGGACAGTGACTGACCTTTTCACACACTATCAAGCTACAAGACAGCTCTATGGAGGAACTGCTGTTTCGTACCTGTGTGGGCCCTTGATCAAAAGCTTTTGAGTTCCTTTCAACCCTTACTTCTATGATGATTGCTGATAGTGCACCTGACCTTCGAAGATGCCTTCTCTTTGAGGTATCCTACCTTCACGCGAGTCTACAAGAGTCGGTGGGCGGATATACTTAAGTTCCGACAGCGCAGCATGCTACTTGACTTCTCCTTTAGTCTGGGCATGACCAAGTACATAGTGAGGGGGCAACCTGTGATCAGCTGTCATCCTGTGACAAACTCAGTCAGGTTCACTGAGTGCAAGCCATGTTGGCATTTCAAAGATGGGATCGCCAATGCTCTTACAATGGAAGAAAAACTTGGCATGTTGCTTGAATACAGACAACATCTTGCAAGTCAATACGCCGACCGATCGATATGCTGGATGCTGCAACAGTTGCCTGTGGACCCCATGTCGGATTGCGTAGTGATGCAAATCGATGGCATGGACCAGGGGAAGTTTAGATTTCCCCGGGATCCAAAACTACGAGCATCAGCATCATTGGCATCCTTTGAAAGACCGATTCTAAAATTACATGGCCTTTGGATTTTTGGAGCCTCAGCTCGATTTCTTTGCTTGCATTTTTTGGACTTCAACCGTTCCAAGTGAATGCAACATTGATTGAACATTAAAAGATTTCAGGATATAGCATCGAATTGCACGTCCTTGACGATCCAACCAGACACGACAGCTCAGCAGTTACAGAAATTATTTCATTGGGACTGGAGCGAGTTGCATCCATTTGCCAGAGAAGAGGAGTGAGCATGCCGACAAAGGCAATCATGTTTGGAGATAACACAGTCAGGGAGCTAAAGAACCAATTTTGTATGGACTACATGGCACACATGGTGGCCAAACGCAAAATGAGACTCTTTGCATCATATTTCCTTCGCAAGAGTCATACCCATGACAAAATTTATCAGTTGTGGGGGGTGGTGGCCAGACGTATAGCAAATTGTGACTCCACCCTGCGCGCTGAAAGACACCCTCAAGATTGTCCGGCAGGAGCTAAGTCGCCCTGGTGTTCGTGCCTGGTTGGGAAGCACTACAGAGCTTCATGTGCAAAAGCTTGATGCCTGTCGAGAGTGGAAGAACTTTTGGAAACCTGTTGGAGTTACACTGTCTGGCGGCCTTCTTGAAGATGTCAGCTCGAACCATGTTTTCTCATGATGCAAAGAAAAGGCTTGGTGGGGCCAAAGCACACCTGGGTAGTTTAGAGTTGAACTTGGTTGTGTTTTTCTTTTGTGAGCTGAAGGGCTGCTTCAGTCAGTTATAAGTTATAATTGCAAAGTTGAGAGCTCAACTGTGGACTGATTGGTAGCCGATTTGCCTGAAATGCTCGCCAACAACGTGAACCAAGGGAGTTTCCGAGGAGGTCCATCATCTGGTGACATCATTTGCTTGATCAAGAAGCACATCTCTGATGGGAAGCTTTCACAGTCTCCACTACTGGTTTTGCCTGAAGCTCGAGCTGGACGAGTTGACTGGACCATTGCCACAAAGTATCTTGCATTTAAGTTTGACTAGTGAATTTCAAGACCACTTTGTGTTTTTTCTGCCGCTTCCCACATTTGCTTTGCAAACATTTAGTTTGTTGCCTGCGAAGGCATCCAAACAATCATTCTGACGCCTTCAAAGCTCAGTGTATGCAATTGGCGAACGCCATTCATGCTACATATGGGGGACCATATGCAAGATGTGTGGAATATCTCAAGGACCTTGCAATGAAGCTGTCTGACTTTTTGAAATGAATGTGGTTTGCAAATAAATGAAACACAATACTGTGCATGGTGTGTTTTGCATGTATGTTGTGTCAGAGATTTACATGTTGAACAAATGGAACAGCTGTGTGTCTGTGAATTCACAGACTACTGGTCAGCCCCAATCTGTTCTCCCAGAACTTGGCAGCCAACCGGTTCTGGAATGAAGCGTCGATTCCTAGATTGACTTGGCATGACGGGCCAGAGCAGCCCTTGATTGGGCAGCCAGAGTTTCACTTGCACCAATCCATTGTGGATTCGATTGCACCAGCAATGCCTTTGAAGGCAGCGTTCTCACGGAGGTGACATTGACTTTAGATTTCCTTTTTGGTATTCACAAAGGAGCCCATGATTACTATCAAGTTCAGCTTCAAGGAACTTTGTTCAAGATCCATGATGTCAAGAAACCTATCGAGAAAAATTACTCTTCTACAGTTCAATGTCAAAACCTGTCAAGAAACCATCCCAAAAACTGGGAATAGTGTGTGTCGCCATACAGCCATCTGGGTGAGAATAAACATGAAGACACAAAAAGGTGTGAAAGGGTGCGAATGACTCATTCACTAATGATTTCAGCACGCTTTGGAGGAGCAGTTTGTGTTTTTAACCAATCAACCAGCCGATCTGAGGTTTGGGCTTCTGAGCTATTGCTCTCACAGCTCAAGGGCCTGCAAAGGCCGAGAACTCAGGGTCCACCAAATATGATGCGCTGGTGAACCTCTGTTGGTTTTCAGTTCTGAATCCACTTTGGACTCTTAAGGAGGTTCATCAAAGCACTTTTGGTTTTGGAACACGATTCATCAATGCACCTTTGGGTCTTGGGCGGGATTCATCGATGCACCTTTGGGTCTTGGGAGGGGTTCATCGATGCACCTTTGGGTCTTGGGCGGGATTCATCAATGCACCTTTGGGTCTTGAACGGGGTTCATCAATGTCGTGGGGGTGTTTGGAGGCTCAGATTGGCATTCATCGATGTACTCCCGGGCTCCGAGTCGGTTGATGAATGAGTCATCGATGTACTCCCGGGCTCAGAGTGCATTGATGAATGAGACTTGTCTCATCAATGTCCCGGGGGTGTTTTGAGGCAGGAATTGGCATTCATCAATGTACTCCCGGGCTCCGAGTCGATTGATGAATGAGACTTTTCTTTGGCAGGCTGGCTGCCAGTGGTGCTACCACAGTTGTCAGGCTCTGTGGGGCATGTGTGAGACACATGTGAGACACATAGTGCAGTGATGAAACATCTGGATGTTCAACTCTTCATCAATGTACTCTGGGGCTCAGAGTGCATTGATTCTGTATATATGTTGAGTGCGACATTGATGAAGAAGTTCAAACCCAATGTTGAAGTCAATGTCGTAGGTTCAAACCATTGGTTTTCAATGGACTCTGGGGCTCAGAGTGCATTGATGAATGATTCAAAAATTCAACTTGTCATCAATGCACTTTTTACCACCACATTACATTTGGCTGAAAGTTGGGACAGGGATTGTCTTAGGCCTTGTGCGTGACAAATCGTCAAAAAGTCTGTGAAGCGCTTGCTAGAACCTTTCAACGCCGCCTCCACGCCGCATGTTGGAAGCGTCACGCCAGAAGCTCAAACCTGAGGAAGCAACGGATTGCAAGGAATCGGAAGTCAAAGAAGAGGCAGATTCCAAGGGGTCAACCACACCTTCTCCTGCCAAACGTTTGGCAAATGAAGAACATGGCTGGTGACACAACCTTGGTAAAGGACCCGTCACATCCCATGACACAATTCTTCAAATTGGAGTTTTGCATGTTATCAGTCCATGACAATCCAAAAATGGTTTGTTTTCAATGATATCCAGGACTTGATCAACCGCGTGTTGCTGTTTACTGCTGATGGTGGCAACATCGACTGCATCCACCCAGTACAAGAGGTGGTTGACCGTCTTTGTGGTGAGGAGAAGCTGACCCAATGCCAAGCCCCAGGCAATCGATGAATCCAATGCAGATGACACAGTGAAGCTGCCTCTCACTGCAATCCGGCCACTTGGCTTTTACTTTGCTGGTTGAATCAACAAGAAGCAAAAGCAATGTCATTAAAACTAACTGTGGAAAAATCACGGCCCAGGTTTGATGTACCGGAAGATGGACTACCCAGCATTGATGACTGGATTACCACATTCACTTCAATTCTACTGGATGGATTGGACCTGGGAAGGGAACCTTTGGATGTCAGTGTCAGGACCTCATCAGTGTCAACTCAGGCATGTTTAGGTTTCTGTGGCTAAACATATGTCTAAACAAAACATGACTTGATCTTCGCAGAGTTTTGTTTGTCAGAATCCGTTTTCTACAGCAAGCTTTCCCAGGTGGATTTCAAGCCATCAAGTTACTTGGCTAGAAGCAAAGCCTCAGAAAACGAGTCATACCAAATTTATGTTTGTCAAGAAATTCACTTATGCTTGAAAAACATGTTCAATACTTATGCTGTGTCAAGCAATTTCTATTCGCCGCTGATCTTTCAACTTCAATGGAAGTCATCATGTGACAAAATCATTTCATCATTGGGCTTGTTTTGGTGTAGTGCACTTTGCACTTGATTGCCCTTCAATTCCCGCGCCAACAAAGCTGGGACTGGGGGCAAAGGAAATGGCCCTGCAGGCAATGGGCACTTGGATCGTCAGGGATCAAAGGGACCTTCTCCGCTTCATGTACCAGTGCCAAAGGAAAAGGCGAGAACTATCAAGATTGGTTGAATGCCTGGAGGCAATGCCGGGCTGTCTCAGTCAACGTCACTGCGAACTCTCTGGAAGGTGCTTTGCTTGCAAAGTAGGGTCTCTTTGGCAGTGTTTCTGAAACTTTGGCACATGGTTTTCATCTTGGTGACATGTGCCAATGACTTCTTGTCCGACACCAGGTGAATTTGAGCAGAACCAGAGGACTGGAGAATGGCGCTGGGTCTGTTCAGAGACAGATGATTGCTGGGCGCGTTCTGGGGGTTAAGCTGGGCAGCGCAACCTTCAGGGCCACCTGGAGAGCGGACCAGCGGATCAGACAACCCAGCGGCCATAAGTCGAAGTTGGCGCTCCACACTCACACTGGTAGTCTAAACATAGAACCGCGAATGTTCCCTTTTTTGATGCAGGTGCCCTGGTGGGTATTGATGTCCTGAAGAAACTTTTGATATACACTAAACATCTAAACATAGAACCCGATCGCGCATAACCCAGGCCTCAGTTCTTCTTCTTTTGGCTTCAACCATACCTTCCCCATGTTCTGTACATATCTGATCAGCTTTGCGTTTCTGCTCTTGAAAAGCTCTGGCATGCGCCTGTTGTCTTTTTGTCTTCTTCACAAGAAGAGTGGAGAGACGCTGCTTCTGGTGCTCTTCTTTTCGAAGCGCGGAAATGTGGGTGGCCAAAAGGACTGTGACATCTTCAAAGGCAATCTCACAAGAGTGGAACATAGCTGGGGCATCACCAATCGCCTCTCCTATTTTTGCCTCAAAAAACTCGAGCAAAGTAGTGTCTGAAGGCTTTGTAGATCCATTCCCGTCCACGCTGATGAGCAACTTGAATAGCTTTTCAAAGGTCGAGAGTTGGGACATGGTAGTGGCAACTTTCTTATCTAACTCCTCAATTTTGTCATCCCATTCAGATTGAGAGCCCTTGCGTTCCACGTCCTTCTCTTGCAACTCTGCGCACAACTGGCCCACCTGCGTCCAGCGGGAAGACATTTATACCTTCACCTTTGGCCACTAAAGACATTTGCGCCACTACAACAAACAACCGCATTTTTTACTGTGCATCCCATGTTCCCGTGCCATGATGTGGATACCCTGTAAGCAAAGTGACCCGCTTCAGCTGAGAAAAGCTTTGCTAAAAAAGAACACCTTCCTGATGACCCCGACATTGGCTAATCCACCCTTAAGGGCCCCAAGTTTTCCAGTGCTGAAGAAGGCAACGGGCGGAGGATTTTCCATCACGCCCTGCGTATTGTAGACGCTAACCTGAAAAAATGAGTAGTCGCGCTCATCCATGCCAATCGGACCATCTCGTGGGACAAGTAAGACACTGATCCAATCGTAGAGATTCACGGTCATGGGAACTTGCTCCAATACCTGTGAACAAACAACAGGGAGGCTTGAGCAACCCAAGAATGGAACAAACACAACCCCTAGGTGGGGTAAACATGGAACCTGCGCAGCAAAGCTGCGTTGGCACTTGAAGAGTGGAGTTGGAAGCCAACATGATTGCAGCAATAGGGCGTCGTCCAAAATGTTCAGAAAGTTTTGCCCAAAAGGCATCCGGGTCATGCGCAGCATTTCCTATAAACATGCCCCGTTCCTTCTTGTACATGCTGGTAGAGCCTCTCCCCAAGAACCCCAACCAGGTGTTTGAAGTGTCCTCAGCTTCATCGATTGCCATCTTGACAGCAAATCCTGGAATAATCAAGTCTGAACTCAGGAACATGTCCTTCTGCTTGCTCTTCTGGGTAGTCTTTTGAGCATCTGTCACAGCAAGGAAACCAGACAAAGGTCATTGCCACCAGTATCTTCACTGGACGCCGGAGCCGGAGGAATGCTTGCAACAGCGTTTTGCCCGCCGCCTTGCTTCCCAGAAACCCACGGGTTCCCTCATCGGTGTCTCGGCAAAGTTCTCCTGGGTGGGTGCGGCAATCTTGGGCACCTCTGGAATTTTCTCCTTCTTATCGGGAATTTCCTCCTTCACTCCACTAGCTGAAGCACTTGCGCAACTAGCTGAAGCAGCTAGGCCAGCAAGATCGTCTGCATGTTCTTCTTGCAAAACCTTCAAACTGTCTGCTAGCCCTTCCCGGCCTTAGTTGCAGTTTCTCCCCGCAGGGCCCAATCCTTGCTTGGAGGTCAACTGTTCCCAAATCATCCTCTCTGGCACAGAGGCTTGCCACTCCATATCTTCCTAGTAGCCAATACTCTTCTCCTCAGGGACGACACCCATGTTCCCCGACTTAATTAATCCAGTTGCGCAATATACTTCAATAGGTTCTATGTTAATCGGTGGCTGAACCATGTTTTGTCTGTTTGCGCCTCCGCTTCTGCCTGCTCTGGTGTTGGTGGCGGAAGCGAGTCCTCTCCGTCCAGCAGGTTGATCTCCTACACGTCCAAACCCCGGGCAGGAGTTATGCGCAGTGTGGTGATTTTGCTACCGTCTTCATTTCCACAGGATCTCACTATTCATTACCATATTGAATATTGTTTGACACTCCCTGCCTGGCTCATGAACTTGTAGTGGGGTGCTCTGTACCCAGCTGGGTCCACGCTGATGGTTTGCCACAGCCACACACCTTGTTGGTGACCTCCCCGGCTCAAGAATTTGAGCGGCTAGTGCACCTTGTCGTACAACCCCAGTCACAATGCAGATAGTCAGGTTCAGCTTTGAAGAGAGCCATACCTGGTGCCATGTTTGTTCACCACTTGAGACTTATATTGGTTCAGTCAGAAAGAAACAAATGAATTGCCGGCTTCTTGGGGATATCAGCTTGGGACAAGTTCCCACTATTCAGACTATTTAGATGGAGAAACATAAAGCAGGGTCTTTAACGTAGCACACTTGGTGCAAGTCTAGGCGCAAAATCATCGCGTTGAGCCATGTGAGCGTGCATCATCCGGTTTTTGGTCTCAAGTGGCATGTGAGCCAGTTTGCACGCCCAATCGCAAACAAGATCCTTCTCTTGCTTAGCTTCACTAGTCACAATGCACAACCCCTGCTCAGTCCGCTGTCTCGAGTACCAAGCCAAAAGCTGCGCTTTTGATGCTGCTGCTGCAAGCCACACAGCGCTCCACATACAACGGCCGTCGGGGGCCACACTGAGAAACAGCAGGGTTGAAGAACCCCTGGAGGAAGGTCTTGTTCAGGGAAGAGTTCTGCTGAGCAGAGTGCAGCGAGAATAACCACTGCCTTAGGAGGTATGCTAAACATTGCATTTGCAAAACACCTGTGGGTTATCACTGTGTCATTTCCACACCAACATATGAGATGCAGTCCAGATACCGCGTTTGCCACATGTTGTGTGTTTCCACACCTCTCGTGTGGGTTTGGCCACGCCCATACAGGAAGCATCTCCTCAATGCAGAATTGGAAACAACATGTCCTCATCAACTAAAATGGACCTCAAGACTCAAGCCGTTGGTTTGTGAAAGAAAATTCTCACACTCCATCTCAAATGATTTTTGTGTAGTACTATTCCCGCCTCCGTGGGGTGCCATGTTTTCTCTACCCTGAAATTGAGCCAGGGTTCCTGGCCGTATATTTGTGCAATTTCAGGAGTAACTGCAAAGCCCAAGCTTGCAAGCTCTCCACAGAGGAGAGCCAGCGCTCTTTGGACCGGCTCCACAGCATGTCTATGGTTGCGTAGGTGGAAATTGTCCTGCAGCTGGCATGGGAGGCAAACAGTACTGTATGGCAGTGCATTTCAAGGGCCATAACCCTGTTCCAACAAGTATAGCATCATAAAGTATCATATGTTTGTTCAACACAATCCTTGCGTTCCGTTCGATGTGGCCTTCATATAGGCAGCTGATTGTTCCTTTACAGCCATGCGCAATGATTGCGGCCACTTGCTGTCCTGCAGTGGTTGCGCGCAAAAAATGGTTTAGCATAACGCCCCTGAATGGCCATATTTAAAGGGCAGCAACAGTCCTTTCTTAACATATAGGGCCCTGTTGCCATCAGCTTAGTGTACCCCACAACAACACTGCTGTGGTCGGTCCTTGTCGAGTTTGGCCCCTGCGGCTTCAAGATTTTGTTTCTCCTTGTTGGTCAACATGTTCCTTGGAAAGATATGCCCAAAATTGATTTCATTATGAAGAGATTTGTACACAACATAGCACTCCCTGAAGAAGTGAAGCAGCTCAGCAACTCCCAGAAACAAACTCTCAGCAATGACAGCCGGATACTGAATTCTCCGTCTTTGCTGCTACCGAGGCTCTCGAACTCCGGGTCATATTTGCGTTCGCGGGCCACGCATCTTTTTCGCTCCTCTTCCAACCTGAAGAGAGTATGGTTCCCGTCGGTAGTCAGTCAAACACGAACACACTAACGGTGTGAAGGGGGTCTGTTTTGCACCTTTGTGACTTTCCTTGGGCCACATGTAAATGTAAATCTGATGTTGCTGCAGTGCCATGTTCAAATTTACTGCTTGCTTCTTTAAAGTGCGGGGAAGAAGCATGCATGCCCGCATCCTCAAGCCAAAACAGGTTTTCCAAGGAAAGCTGGCGGCTTCGGAGGGCTTCACAAAAAAGTCATAAGCTTGTTGTAGATCGCAAAGCCAGTTGCCAGAGTCACGCCGCAACGCCAAAGTCCTTGGATACGAGGTTGGAAAAGTCCAACAGACGTGTTGGTTCTGGTCGCGTGCTATGTTTGACACATGTCATATGTACAGATACAAAACTTTTAAGCAAACAGACTTGCAAAGCATCTCACAAGTATCTGTGTTTGGCATGACCTGTTGAAAATGCATCCAAAAGGATGCTTGTTGCAATTCCGTCCTGTACTGTAACATCCTGTTACAAACATCTCCCAACCCACAGGAGGCCAAGCAGCCACCCACGGAAACGTCGCGCACAAGCAGACCCAACATCTTCAGTGGATATGAAAATGACCTTTCCAAAGCCAGGGCTTTGAAACCTGAGTATCTGGAGAGAGGGTGTGGGTGAAGAGGTGCCTTGAAGGGCGCACTACCAATACTTGCCAACTATCTTCCAGATCGAACATTCTGCATTTCTTGCCAGACTTGTGATCTTTGTGGACGCACAAATGAACATTCCTTGGTGAGCATGCCCACCACATGCAACCACCACATGTAAAGAAATTGAATTTGGTAACTGTCAGTTTCTTGGAAAAACTGAAGGGTCTTCCAGCGGAGAGAAGCACCCTATATAATGCTGATATGTGCAAAGGCGCCTCCAATACGCCATTGCGTATGGACGTCCACTGCCACGATCTTGCTTTTGGGACCCAGCTTGGCTGTCATCAGTGCAAGTGACCCCTGCAAAGTCTTTGGCCAGTGGTTGCAAAACATGGCACTGAACAAGTCTCTCTTTGAGTTCCTTCCCAAGCAATTTGGAATTCCAAATTGCGCCTCTTCAGCGCCAAGAGAAAACACACTGTACATGAGATCACCTAAGAAGGCCACTAAACATTTTGGCTGCAATAGGTTTAACATAGAACGTGACCTACATGAACAACTCTTCCCCGTTGAATGTAAAATTGATGTCTTTTTTATATTGATGCCATTTTAACTAATATTGATTGATTTCCTTTTAACTTGGGGGGTAGGGAGGGTATTACTAATCGAGAGTCAACATTATGGATAATACCAAGGTTCTAGATCAGCAGCGAGAGGAATGCTGCAAGACTGGCGCTTAGAACCTGAATGTGTGGACTCACCAGGATGCCTGAGGCACGGTGCGGTGCTGCTCCAGTTGACAATTCACATGGCCATGTCCATGTTCAATGCTTTTTCTATGGCAACGCTAGAAGCCAAGGCGCATCTCCAAAAATGTGATGTCCCTTGAAAAAAAATCCCGCAGAAGGCCTTTTTGCACATCAACGGAAGACTCCCACGCCGATTCCTGGGTGAGGGTGGTGAGAAGACCGGCGCAAAGCGCTACGTACCTAACATGGCACCTACCACAAAGACTTACAGGAAGAATGGTTCCCTTTACTTGCTAGGAGATGGATTGTGAAAATCCAAGTTAGTTCTCCATGACAAGGATCAAGCTTGAAGGACACCCCCAAGTTGTTGACCTCCAGGATCTTGGCAGCCCGGCCAGATGCATCAAGCCTGGGAGAAGAAAACTGAGCTAAGGCAAGTGAACAGAAGACAGAAGGCATACAGTAACTTTCCCGCTGCAGTGTATTTTTCCCAGCTCGGACCAAGGCTCCGCTTAGCAGGATGGGCCGGCTTGACCCCAGAGACTTCTACAAATTCATGGGCTCTCTGAGGGTCCTAGCAGGGTAAGGCTGATGCCCCTATAAAGCCCATTTATCATAGCACTTGGGCACAGTTTCCACCGTTTTCATAAACAGCCACAAAATAAGCTCGTCACACATTCCAAAACATTCCGACTGCAATTGTTCAGCGACAATTTCCTTCTTGCACCATGAAGCTGCTTCAGTCACCGTTTGGCAGTCGAGCTTGGTCAAATCTGCAGCTTTGCGATCTGTAGGCCAGCCATTGATGTAGGGCTGGCCATTTGGCAAATGTTGAAGGACAGGCCCAACCTTTCGAGACCTTTTTGCTGAGCTGCATTCCTCAGCTGCACTAGATACGCTTGGCATATTGTTTCAAGTTTCAGTGACGCGTGGACACCTGCTCAACAAACATGGAAGCTTCTCATGGAAGCGCGCGCATTCTTGCACAAAAACTATTCAAACACATGCATCCTCTTGGCTACAGACTGTCTTGTACACTGCATCCCCAAGCCAATGAGAAAAGAAGACACAATAGTGGTTGAGCCCAGGGTCTGGCCTGGAGGGTAATGCAGGAGCTTTGGGCCCCAGCGTGAAAACAATTGGTGCTGGCAGGGGCGGCTCGCCACCAAGCTTGACCCGTTCCTGCGCAAAATTGAAAGGCGCTGGAGGGGTTGACTGGGGAACACAACCTCCAAACCTTTCCGGAAAGAATCACAAACATAGCACTCCATCGGCTGTTTTTGTTGAAGGGGTCAGTAGTCCGTCACAAAAA